AGCTGTTGTTCAGCATCTTAGCTGTAGAGGGCAGTGTCACTGGCCTTCATATGTGGGATCTGAACCGGGGCCCTCTGGCGTCCCAAGCCAGTTCCCAAACATCGTGCCACTCGGCCGGCCCTGTTTTTACTTTTTTTTTCCCTACCTTTTGAAAGGTCAGTTTTTATTTTTTTGAAAACCACAGTTGTTTTGCAGCTAAACCACCCTGCAGCCTGGCTCTTATATCAACAGCAAAGCCACATCTTCCCAGTAAAGGGGGGCCTCTGCCCTGGCTTGTAGCTCAGTACCCCAGATACACCCGGAGGGTGATCCCGCCCTACCCAGTGCTTCTTTAGTCTCTTCTGTACTGTTAGCTTTTTTCTCAGTGAGATCTTCGTTAGCTAATTAGAAAAGGTGAACAGCAAGGAGGGAGGGTGCCCTGTGCTCTGTGAGAGGCTGGAGCGTAGGTGCCAGCCCAGCAGCGTCCGCTCTGCCTTGCAGGTGGCCATGGTGGAGGTGCAGCTGGAGACGCAGTACCAGTACCCGCGGCCGCTGCTCATTGCCTTCAGCGCCTGCACCACTGTGCTGGTGGCGGTGCACCTCTTCGCCCTGCTCATCAGCACATGCATCCTGCCCAACGTGGAGGCCGTGAGCAACATTCACAACCTCAACTCCATCAGCGAGTCGCCGCACGAGCGCATGCACCCCTATATCGAGCTGGCCTGGGGCTTCTCCACCGTGCTCGGCATCCTGCTCTTCTTGGCTGAGGTCGTGCTGCTCTGCTGGATCAAGTTCCTGCCTGTGGACGCGCGCCACCAACCCGGCTCCACGCCCGGCCCTGCAGGCCACACAGGCTGGCAGGCCGCCCTCGTGTCCACCATCATCATGGTGCCTGTGGGCCTCATCTTTGTGGTCTTCACCATCCACTTCTACCGCTCACTGGTGCGCCACAAAACGGAGCGGCACAACCGCGAGATCGAGGAGCTGCACAAGCTCAAGGTGCAGCTGGATGGGCACGAGCGCAGCCTGCAGGTCGTGTGAAAGCTCGGCTCCCCCAGGGGCTCCTGGGAGCCTGCTTTTGGGGGAAGTTAAAAAATGTAAATTGCTCATGAGGCTGCCTACTCACTGCCAGATTGTTCAAGACCAAAGTTTTACTCCTGTCTTAATGCTGTAAAACCTGGATCATTTTCCTCAGAAAATGGAAATCCTTGTTAAATGACAGACTGTTGCTAAGAGCGTAGGGCAAAGAAAGGTTGAGTCCTTGGCCCTGGGGACTTCCTGAGACAGGAGGCAGGGCTTCCATCCTGTGGTCATCTCAGAGGCATGGAACAAACGGCCAGGGGTGCAGCGAGCCTGGTGGAGGCCCAGAGAGTCAGTAGAGCTGTGAGTTCAGAGAAGGATTGCCTTGTGACACCTGCAGTGGGCTGCATGGCAGCCTGATGGTAACAGCCTGCTGTGATGGGGGTGGGGGTGGGGGGGTGGCGGGACTGTGGCGATTAGATGGGACACAGGATTACAGCTGGGCCTGGTGCTTCCCTCCCCTGCTCCGGAGGGAGTTGGGCGGCCTGGCTTAGGGGAAGGCAGGAATCTGTCAGCCGAGCAGGTGTGGTAGGTGCCCCAGGAGGTGGCAGACTTGTCAGGGCCTGGGGGAGACTTCCAAGAGTGGAGGCCTGGCAGTTGGGAAGGCATGTCTGTGGGCACCCTGTGTGAGGAGGCTGTTAACTGAGGGGTGCTCTAAAGCACACTGGGCTCATATTTTTTCTTCCCAGTCAGACTGGAGCCCTGGCCACACAAACCGAGCAAGCCCTCCAGGTTGGGAAGGGCCCGCAATCCAGAGGTCTCTTGGCCACAGAATGCCCTCTGAGCCTGAGTCAGCTACCCTTCTGGGCTGTGGCTACGAAGGCCAGGGGCACTCAGGCAGCAAAGCCTGCCCCTCTCCCTGCTGCCCATAGTGCCAGGCAGCAGGAAAGGTGGCCTAGGGGACTTCCTGTCTCGACAAGAAGGCTTAGCCTGGTCTGGTCTGTGGTGGTGGCCCCAGGGCCAGCCCTGGCCAAACCGGGTCCTGCTTATGATGTGGGGCAACTGTAGGGAAGGCATGACCCCATATACTCCTCCCTCCTGGGCCCCCAGACCTCTCAGCCGCACGCCGGGGCCCAGCTCACACATTTACTGTCGTGCGTGTGTTTTCAATAAAGGCATTTGGTAGCCCTAGCCTGTGTTCTTGAGCTGTTCACATACGGGCTACAGCTTAGCTTGCATGTCCTTCGAGCTGCTTTGAAAAACCGCATAGCCACCTGGAGAAGGCCTTTTCGTTTTTTCACAAATCATCATTGGATTTCATGCTGGCACTTCTGTCGACAGCCTAATGTCTGTGGAGCCTGGGCTGCCTGTGTCAAGAAATCCCGGCTGGCCCAGTTGAGGTTTCTGGGAATGTGACTGGTGAGACTGAACATGTAATTCCGAAATGCTGAGGGGCCCTCTGTGAGCTGTGCTGAGAATCACGTCTCAGTGGTGACACTTATGGAAAGCCTGGACATGGTGTCCCGCCAGAGCAGTGCCCTGGTGTTTTCCAAAGGGCGTGTCCCTTGTATCTCTCGCATACATTTGTTGTGACTTGCTTGCTCTGTAGCGCATGGCGCCTCTTTCCCAGAGCCTTGTTGAAAAGACTCATCTGGTTTAACGTTTGCTTTGCAAAAGAATGTGAGCATTAATGCAAGAGCCACTTTGTGTCCTGGCAGTAACAAGACAGGCTGGCTCCTCCCCTCAGCTGGGAGCAGGCAGCAAGCCCTTACCCTGGCCTGAGTCTGTTGAGAGGGGCCACGCTGGACTCACTCCTACTGCCCACGGTCTCAGGCCATCTGGTGCCCCTGCCCCACGTGCTAGACCCATGGGAATGCCATGCTTCCGAGACTGGAAGGCACACCCCCCAGTACCAGTGGGGGCCAGTTGTTATGCCTGATCCGTGAGCAGAGCTTCTGGCTTGGCCGCATCAGGGTCAGACACTAAGTGCCCAATGACAGTGCCACATGGGTAGGAAAAACGCCACATACCACATTTAAACACTGATTGGGAGAATCATGTTCTCATTTCTTTTTCTGTCCTCCAGAGTGCTTTCCCAGCTATGGCCTTTCTAGAGGAATGAGGCAGAGAGGACTGTGGGTCTGGGGAGGACGGACCACCTCAGGGTTGCCTTGGAGCTTGTCGGGAGATGGAAGATAAGCTGCTAGTTGGGAGTTGTAGGAACAATTCAGCTGGGCAGTTGAGGGGAGGGGCTGGCAAATTACAGGCTTGAGATTTGGATTCTGGAGGTTTAACCTGACAGGAGTCTTCCAGTAGTGGGCCCTCCATGCTGAGGCGCCATGGGCCGCCACGGGGCCAGCGTGGGCTTGCCCTGTCTCCCTCTGAGCAGAGCCTTCCTGGTGCTCATAAGACATGCCCGCAGATACTTGAGGCCCATTCCGAAGTGGAACACAATCTCCCTTTAGTACCTGACCAGAAATTTCAAAAACTCAAGTGTTCCTATTTTAGAAACTGTGAGGGCAGAATGTATTTCAGTGTCTTCTAGGAAGGTCTGTGGAGGATAAAACCACAGACGCTTGAGCGGATGGAGGCTCATCTGCAGTCCTTACCTGCCTTGTGCTGATTCATTATGCATGACACTGTGGATCATGTATGATGTGCAGAACCCCTGGCCTCTTTACGAATTTTTCAAACAATTGCTCTGGATTCAGCTGAATAAACATGCTATGAATCACTCTCTCTGCTCTTGGTGGGATCCAAGGGGTAGCCCCTGTCCTTCCCCGGCGTCCGTCCGCTGCATCCTGGATCCGGAAGCCCCTCCTGCCACCTCTTAATTGCTGATCACCAGCCAGTGTCCTAACAGGACCCCATGAGGCTCCTACCAAGTGGGGGCCCCAAGAGAACAGAGCACCTCTGCCTGCTTCCTTTCCCAAGCAGGGCCCTCCCTTTCCAATTTGAAACAGCAGGGACAGCTCCGCGTGTGAGTGAGTGCCAGCAGAGCCATCTGGACAGGGTCGGCTCGAAGGCCTGCACATCCTCCAGGAGAGGAGCCACCAAAGCTTGGTCCCCTAGGCTTTCTCCAACCCCAGGAACCTCTGGCTCTGGGCTGGGGCCAGGAGTCCGGCTAGGCAGCAGGAACTTCGGCAAGGTCGCACTCTCAAGGACGCTCCCAGACATTGCTTTGTAACAGTTGCCTACTGAGGTACAGCCCCCTCCTAGGAAAGAATTTCTGTCCTTTAGGAATGAGGTGTGCAAAGCTGCGTCACCACTATACGGAAAAGTCCTGCCAATACAGGAGGCCAGGCTGCTACTGCAGCCAGAGGGAGGGCTCCCCAGGCCTGGGCTCTGGTGAGCTCCAGGCCAGCAAACGCTGTCTGTGGACCATTTTCCCACTGAGCCCAGCAAGCCTGCTGTGGCTGGGCCCCCTTACCACCCAGCTGACCTACTGAGAGAAGATTCAATCCTGACTTGGATGCTCCCTAAAGGTTGAGGGGTAGGGTCCACCTAGGCCTGGTGAGGCCCAGAGGGGCGAGGTGGGACGGGACTGAACCCAGAGACTCCGCACTAGGCCTTTAGACTGTGCAGAATCCTTTCCAATCCATGTCCCAGGCGGATGCTGGGGACACAACACAGGCAGGTCCTGCGCAAGTCTCAACAGGAATAACCGGGGGTGCTCCCTGAGCTGAGCTCAACCCCTCCCAGTTAGGAATGGCCCCGGGTTTCCTCAACATCCTTTGGAAGCAGGGCAGGCTGAGGAATGTGGGCCAATCCCGACTTACTCTGGAAGAAAATGCTTCCGTATGAGTGTGTTCCCGCAGGCTCTGCCTCCCCTAGTCTGAGGCTGCAAGAGCCTCAGCACAGACCACATGATCTGTACCAGAAATGTCTGGTACTTATGGAAAGTGCTGAATGCAGGAATGGCCACTGAAAATACAGGGTTGTGCCCTCAGGCTGCAGCTGCTGGGACCAGCCCCTCAGAAAAATCCAGGGCAGCGGCCGCAGTGGTACCCAAGAGCAGCTCTGGAGGGAGCACCCTAGCCTGGCCAGCCCCCAGCCCCATCCCAGTGGGAGCTTTGGTGAGACAGTGGGCACCTGGGGCCCAGAAGTCTTCGAGGACAGTAGTAGCTTCAAGGACAAACTCATCACCAACTTCACTATAATGTGATGGAGTGTTTCTTTTAAAAAAAATTTTTTTTTTAATTTTTATTGGGGAACAGTGTTTTTCCAGGACCCATCAGTTCCAAGTCAAGTAGTAGTTTTCAATCTAGTGTGGAGGGCACATCTTAGTGGCCCAGGTGGGGATCGAACTGGCAACCTTGGTGTTATGAGCCTGCGCTCTAACCACCCAAGCTAAGTGGCCGCCCCTGAAGGAGTGTTTCTTATGTGTGCTCTGCAGAATTATAGGAACGGCCAACCTGTCAATCGTCTGGCAAGCACTGGGAGATTCCAAGGGAAACAGGTTTCCCCAGAATGACTCCCCAGCCTTCACAGGCCTTGCCCTGATAAGTCTTGGGGTGCAGCGTTTCCCAAATGTCCACTTCCCACAGAGCCCTTTGTTGGTAGAGCATCATGCAGGCGGCATCCAGGGGTGGGCTGCTCCAAGGCCCAGCCTGTCAGGGCAGTGGCTCCACACTTCCCGGTGTGCATGCCCACACAGCTGGAGGCCCAGGCAGGCTTGCATCTGCATGCTCGGCATGAAGGACCCAGGGGAGGGTCTGTGAGGGCCTGGGGGTTACAACAGCCTGGGAAGAAGTTGTCCTCCATCCTTCTGCTCTTACTGAGCTGACCCCACACTGGGCAGCTGGGCTCATGCAGCCACTAGGAGCCCAAGCAGCACCTGCACTGGGTCTTCCCAGGGTTTTCCTGTCTGAGCCAGTGGCTGAGCAGCTGCTATGCCACTTCACAAGCAGTGCAGTGGCCAGTGGCTCCCCTAACTTGCGAGCTCTCAGCAAGTTCCAGAGTGACTGTGAAGACCAGTGCCGACTGCGAAACTTTACAGGCTGTGATGGGGTGCTGGTCCCTCAAGTTTGGCTCCTAGCATGTGGCTGGTGAGCCAAGTGTATTTTGTCATATAAGCAGCAGGAGAGTGGGCTGGCCACGCAGGGAACACTGCCACCACCCTCCACCTCCACAGCCTATTCACCTGGCCACAAGTGCACAGGGGCCAGCTGCCCATCCAGGTGAGCACCCCCATAGCACTAGCACCAGAAGGTGAACCACCTTGTGCTGTCCTGGGAGCTAAGAGACTTTTCCTACTTTTTAACACCATTACATGAGGGTGGGCGGGGGCGGGGGGGGGGTGAGTATGGGTGAGAAGAAATACCAGACTCTCAGAATATCCCCCTGTCCTCATCACACCCCACACCCCACACCCTAAGGGGTCAAGGGTGACCCAAGCAGAGTCTGACTCAGGAGCTGTCACCAGTTCTGAAATCTGAAATAACAACCTCAAATCTTCTAACATCTGTTTTCCAATCCCACACGCTTCCCAAATGGAGGGATTGCAGGGGGGAGTATAGGCAAACCTCACTGAGAGAGATGGATAAAAGAGAAGATGGTTTTAAGTGGTGCTAATGTTTTTTAAATTCAAATTATGCTACTGCCCTCAAACTGTGACAAATAACTGAAACAAGTGGCCACAGTGCAGGTCAAAGGGGACTGACCTGAGGCACATCCCCATCAAACCAGTTCCGTGGTGTCAGCATGTCAGCAGTCTTCTCCGGAAACCTAGTAAGCTGAGAAGAAAGACCCTTGTGCTGGGCCCCCCCTTTTAATCCTGGCAAAGGGTCAACTCTGGAGCTGGTGCCCCTGGCCAGGCCCAGTGCCAGCTCCTGTCCCCAGGGAGGCAGCTCACATGGGTCTCCCCTGAAAAGAGAGAGAGATTTGCAGGAGCTCCTGCCCCAGTTCTTGCTGTTTCCCTCCAGGACGGAACTCTGCCGACAGCTCTCTGAAGGTGACACACACGCGCCGGGCCTCAATGTGTCTGCGGTGGATGGCATGCTTCCACTGGTGCCGCGCGGCTCCCGTGAGCACAAGAAGAGAGCGGCGGGGCAAGGGGATGGCCACCTCCACCTCCTGACACAGGACAGACCTACTGGGTGCCATCACACCTTCTACCAAGGCCTCCGGGAAGCCAGATGGGGCCAGGCAAAGCAGCAGGCTGCCGGGTGCCTCCCGGGACATGGACAGCACAGTGGGGGACAGCAGGTTGAGGCTCACCAGCCGCTCTCCCCACAGCCAGGTGTCGTCCAGGTGGGGGTCGATGGCTGAGCCCCGCTCCGGGCAGTAGTCCAGGTTACACTGCTCCACAGGCTGGAAGTCCTCCAGGATGGGGTAGAGGCTCATCTTCCGCACCACCTCCCGGCTGAAGCTGGGGAGGCCTTGGAAGCCAGCCGTCTTGAGCTTCTGTTTCCGAAAGTTGACTTTGGGGCCGTAGTCCTGGCGGATAAGCACAAAAAGGACGTGGAGAAGAGTCTGAGTTTACAGAAAAGGTATCACAGACTAGATCTGAAGAATTCAATCACAGTGACCCAGAAAAGCAAAAATTTCTGACTGCATAGGTCTAACATGCCAGCAGGAAGAGGCGGGCACTGTAGAGATATAAGTAACAACAAATATCAGATGGCAGCAAAAGCTAAGGAAAACATAAAGCAGGGAAGGGGGATGCGAAGTGTTGGGGGGCATCTTGGCCCAGGTACCCCCAGAAAGCAGAGCTACAGACAAAAGGCCCGTGTGTAGGTAGTATATCCAGGACAAGATGCAGCGAGGGAGGGAAGGCCAATCCAAGGCGGCGGCATCGAGGTGGGCAACACTGGGCACAAGCAGGGTTCAGAACCATGAAGGCGGACAGTTACCACGTGACCCAGCAGCTCCACTCCTAGTGCACATCTAAGATAACTGAACACACATGTCCACACAGAAACTTTCACGTGAATATTCATTGCAGCACTATTCACAATGGCCAAAAAGTGGAAAGAACCCATTGCTCGCCAGTGAATAAACGGATAAACAAATGGTGGCATATCCACACAATGAAATATAATTCAGTCACAAAGATTAATGAAGCACCGACACATGCTGCAGTAATGAACCCTGAAAACATTCTGCCCAGTGAAAGACAGCAGACACAGAAGGTCATACGTTATATAATCCCATTTACATGAAGTGTCCAGAACATGCAAATCGAGGGAAACAGCAAGTAGATTAGTGGTTGCTGGGGACGGGAGAATGGGGAGTGACTGCTAACGAGCACGAGTTCCCTTTGGGGTGATAAAAATGTTCTAGAACTAGATAGTGGTAATGGTTGTACTACACTATGAATCTACTAAAAACCAAACTACTGAACTGTACATTTCAGTGGGTGGATATGTGGTTTCTTCTACAAACCTAAACACACACACACACACAATTAGGGAGGAGCCTTCTAGAATACGCCTCAAATTTGTGGCCCAAGGGATGAAAGACGGGAGCATTTCTCAGCCAACTCTTGCCCTTAGTGGAGTGGAGCTCCATCTGGTGGAACTATCTGTCTTTTCCCAGGGTGGCATGAGTGCCTGGGCAAGCTGGTTCCTGCAGGCCAACCCTAGGCAGTGGCAGGCGGACAGCCTGACACGGAGTGCAGATGGACAAGGAGCTGGAGCTTTAAGAAACCCTGAGGAGGCTGGAGTGTCTGCTGTGAGAGGCACCAGAGAGCAGCAGCGGAAACAAAGGCTGAGCTGGAGGCCAGTGCAAGGCA